TTCCAACCACCTCTTAGCATTCCCCGCCAGAGAATGGGGGAAGAGGTGAAGGCGGATTGCATCATCCGGAACACCATTCAGCTTGAACCCGTTCGTCAGCTGCAGAAACCGGGAAAGGTGTGCCCGGGCTTCCTCATCCTTCAAGCCATGGAACTGGATAGAGGATGTGATGAGCTGAATCCAGCATGACTTGATCTCGAAGTTGTTTGCAGGAATGGGCGGATAGAGGATGACCGGGCGGATGTCAGCAATCCGTGGAGTATAGTAGTACTCCAGGGTGGGACCCGGTGGTGGTGGATGATGATGGTGCCCAGCTCCCTGGGGGTGTTGGTCGTTCCCCAGGATCTGGTTCTGAGGAGGTGGGTTCTGATCGCCTTCCATCTCGTACTCGTCCTCGGAGTCGCTGGTCAATTGGCCGTCTCGGCGCTCCACCGTAGCTAGTCTAGCTTGCTGTTGTCTCCGAAGTTGTTTGCAGGTGCGCTCAATCTCAGGATTCAACGGCAGTAAACCTCCCGACTGGCTACGGGTCATGCACTAGCTGCACACAATCAAGCAATGCAACCCCGTGAAGGCACAAGTGGGAAAAAAAAAACTCAATGCAAAAATGAAAATGCTAAAGTAACAGAAATCACTTTTCTTCAACAACCTAGCCGTCCCCGGCAACGGCGCCAAAAACTTGACTCGCTGTTACTGTCACTCTAGAAATTGGCCAAGTGTAACCACTTCCTAAAGCGTAGTATAGCGGGCTGGGTTTTAATGTCAACCCGGGTCCTATATGTGATGACTACTCAGTGAATTCGTATTATCTAGTAATGAAACTTTAGTGAAGTTCTAAACTAACAAGCAAACAAAACAACTAAACGGTTGTATTCAGGTTAAGAGAGGTCACCCGGATATGGTTCCCCCTAGACTGCAGTTAAGCCGGATTGTAATTGCCAAGTTCGATTTCTATGATAGTTATACTGCGGAAGGTTCTCAAACAGTCTGAAGTCTCGACTAAAGGTCTTCAGACCCTCTCAATCTGAGTCTCTAGCTGGCGACTAACCTACACCGGAGTAAACAGATTGAGGCCCTATGAACAAAACCTCCACTACCGAATTGAATTCGGTACAGAATAGTGAACTGGCTCCTCGACTAAAGTCACCAATTCACTACCTTCGATTAAGGATACTCTATCAACCTAGGCAGATATTATCATTCTAGGTTAAAGCAGAAACAACAGGAATTTGATTGTTTTTCTTTCTTCTTTTTGCTTGTTTTTCTGTTTTTCTCAAACAGTCTGAAGTCTCGACTAAAGGTCTTCAGACCCTCTCAATCTGAGTCTCTAGCTGGCGACTAACCTACACCGGAGTAAACAGATTGAGGCCCTATGAACAAAACCTCCACTACCGAATTGAATTCGGTACAGAATAGTGAACTGGCTCCTCGACTAAAGTCACCAATTCACTACCTTCGATTAAGGATACTCTATCAACCTAGGCAGATATTATCATTCTAGGTTAAAGCAGAAACAACAGGAATTTGATCAGGATTCAAGTCATTCAATCATTCAAACCTCAATCGAATATAATCAAATCATAGAATCAATACTTGGGTTCATACAATCAAACCTAACATACAGAACTAGGGTTTCCCATACCCAGATGAATGGGAGAACTACTCCATGGAGAAAGAAGCAAAAGCAGAATCAGACGCGGAAATCATACTGTGAAGATGGATTTCTGCTCCTAGACGTTGAATCGGCACTTCTCCAAGCTCAAGCCAAGCTCCAATGGTGTTGAAGATCGATCTAAGGCACTTGGAGGCTCTTGTTCGTCGCTTTCTCTCTCTAGGAACGCTCTGTCTCTCAAAAACTCGAATCCCCTTCTGTTTGGCTCGGAATCCGCTTAAAAACCAGACTTTCCCGACTCGCACGGCCAGGGTGCACGGCCGTGCACATCACCATTCTGGCCGTGCACCTCAAAACGCGGCGTACCATTAAGTCGAGCTTCAGCCATCGCGCACGGCCAGGATTGCACCTTGCACGGCCGTGCGGATTTCCCTTGTGCCCGTGCGTGCCCACGCACAATCCCGCACGGCCAAACTGGTCAGTTGCACGGCCGTGCGTGGCCACGCACAATCCCGCACGGCCAAACTGGTCCTTGCACGGCCGTGCGGGTTGTGGGTGTGCCCGTGCGACTTCCTCAGAACCTCGCCATGCGTCCGATCCTCGTCCAATCGACCTCAAACTCGCTCCCAAGCCTCCATTCACGTACTAGGACCTGAAATATCATAAACAAGCACAACCTAGCGTGAAATCGGCCTAAAACACGAGAATCAATACCTCAAACGGAGTAAGAGCAGGGGTAAAAACATGTGTAACTAACGGTCTATCACTCGTTCATACGCCTAGTCTGCCCACTAGAACGGAGGTTGAGATCTCATGTAAGCCACCACCTCCCGAGTGGGTTACTCTCAATTCAGACGACTCCGTCATTCCTGAGTCAGGTCATGCTGCAGTAGGTGGCCTGATTCAAGATCACACAGGATGTTGCCTTGCATCATTCGCTTGTAACTTGGGTGTTTGTTCTATAACCTGAGCATAATTGAGAGGCGCTGTAGAAGGTCTTCAGCTAGCCTGGGAGCGTGGTTTTTGACGAATTCGGGTAGAGCTTGATTCACAATGTGCGTTTCAGCTGCTTCACAACCCGGATCGCACAGATCTCCACCATGATGCCATCATCTATGATAGTTATACTGCGGAAGGTTCTCAAACAGTCTGAAGTCTCGACTAAAGGTCTTCAGACCCTCTCAATCTGAGTCTCTAGCTGGCGACTAACCTACACCGGAGTAAACAGATTGAGGCCCTATGAACAAAACCTCCACTACCGAATTGAATTCGGTACAGAATAGTGAACTGGCTCCTCGACTAAAGTCACCAATTCACTACCTTCGATTAAGGATACTCTATCAACCTAGGCAGATATTATCATTCTAGGTTAAAGCAGAAACAACAGGTTTTTGATCAGGATTCAAGTCATTCAATCATTCAAACCTCAATCGAATATAATCAAATCATAGAATCAATACTTGGGTTCATACAATCAAACCTAACATACAGAACTAGGGTTTCCCATACCCAGATGAATGGGAGAACTACTCCATGGAGAAAGAAGCAAAAGCAGAATCAGACGCGGAAATCATACTGTGAAGATGGATTTTTGCTCCTGGACGTTGAATCGGCACTTCTCCAAGCTCAAGCCAAGCTCCAATGGTGTTGAAGATCGATCTAAGGCACTTGGAGGCTCTTTTTCGTCGCTTTCTCTCTCTAGGAACCGCTCTGTCTCTCAAAAACTCGAATCCCCTTCTGTTTGGCTCGGAATCCGCTTAAAAACTAGACTTTCCCGACTCGCACGGCCAGGGTGCACGGCCGTGCACATCACCATTCTGGCCGTGCACCTCAAATACTTGATGAGAATGATTGATCTTCAAATACTTGATGTATGATTTATAAGTTGTGTATTGACATATTCAATTTTTATAACAAACTATGTATAAATGACAATGGTGCATATGATCCATGCAAATTATAGCTAATTTGTAAAAATAATTTTATTTCAATCAGGGACAGGGAGAGTGTAACGGGTGGCTACTAAGGACGAAATGAGTAAATTAGTAGAATAATTAATTGAGAATGAAATTTAGGGCAATTTTGATTGAGAATGGTTGGTTGAGAGATAATGTGTTCAAATCTTTAGGGCTGGGAAACAGTGCGGTCTGGTCCAGACCAGACCATATATACGGTCTATGATCCAGATCGAGAGGCTAAAGTATAGAACACAGACCAGACCATAGACTATACGGTACGATCCAGACCACACCTGTGCGGTCTGGTTCGGTCTGGTACAGATAGACCACACGTCCACACTCAACGAAAAATGAATAATTTGTTTAGTCAACCACACAAAAAATTGAACCAATAACCAAGAAAAATAATTGTTATTTGCCTTAAAACATTAATCCTAACATGCATGAATACTTTTGATACCCTAAATCTTAGTACATAACAAATATACAAAGTAAAAGCATCCCAACTTGCACCATAACGTCATAAACATTAACATCATGTCACATGGAGACACGATTAGCTCTACTCTCTGGTTAAATGTGGTTGTGAATGAAGGAGGGACGAGATTCACAAACTAAGGATGAGACTTGGGTGTCGTTGTGGGAGTTGGGAGAGTGGTTGAATGGGATGTTAACACGTATTGACAAGTCGGTTAGGTCCACGGTTTGGTCCGATAAACCGTGGTCTAGACCATACCAGACCAAGAGATCAAAACATAAATAATATGGACCATGGACCAGACCAGACCATACTTAACGGTCTACGGTTCGGACCAATCTGTGCGGTACGATTTGGACCACGGTTTTTCTAACGGTCTTGTCTATTTTTCCAGCCCTACAAATCTTGGCAGCCCCATTTGTTAAGCACATGATAATTGGATTTGCGAAAATCTTAAACACGTATAAGTTGGTTTTTGTTAGCGGAGAAGTGTTAGTGAATACTAAATAGTATAAGATCTATTATTAAATCTTTCTCAACAGTTCGAGTTATTGATACTAAACGGTCGTGACAAAGAGCAACATTAGAAAGCAAATTTCTTACTAAATCATGAATAATTGTTTCACATATAGAGTAATATTTTGATAGTTTCAACACATATTCAATTTACCAAATTTTGTAAATATTTTGATAGTTTGAACACATATTCAAATTTACCAAATTTTGTAAATATAAAATTATATCATGAATGATTTAAAAGGCTAATAAATTTTTTTATTGTATATTTTTTATTAATGGACCTACACTCAACAAAATCCTGATTGCGTGCGCTACTACTTCCTCCTAAATCTGAGCAAAATAAACAGTAATTCTATATTGTAGAGAAATAAAGTTGAAGCCCAAAGTATAAGGGGAAGGAATTTGGATTCCACAGTATGAAAAATGGATTAGATGATGTCCAAAATTTATTTCCATCAGTGGCGCATTTTAACCTTTTTTTTTTTGTGCCGCAACTTTCTCACATTCCACTCATTTTACATTTCATGGATTGCAACATTCACAGAAAGGGGACTGCAAAATTCAGCGAATGCAAACAATTGGCAAGGCTCGATAGGGAAAAAGCACCAAGTTTCTCATTAAGTAACTTGGAGCCCGAGCTCGGTTTGCAGCTCTACGGCTTCTACTATTCCCCTTTCATCGTTAACATATCACACCAAATGTTTTATAGTCGATAACACTTAGTCCAGGCGTATGGGATGGGGGGTCGAATGTACAAAGTAGGGTTGCTTTGAACTAGAGCTCATCTTTTGCCGGTGCTGGAAGTTCATCCCAATAGTAGGGGAACTTCAGCCTTGCTGCAGTATGTGGCATGAACCAATCTTCGTATATGAACCTGGATACAAAAGAACAAAACAAGATTAATAGCCAAACACATTTCAAATGCTAATCTAATTTGATTGTCTTTGAATCAAGGGTGCACATCAGGTATAGATAAATCCAGAAATAACAAGGCATACAGGTTCGCGACTACCGCTAGAAGTTTGCTACTTTGCTCTGGCTGTCAGCAAAGTTACGATTGAAAGATGATTCGAGATCCTACAAAGCATTACCTATTCAGCTACATTTTCCTGTAATAATTATGTTCAGGAAGTTTCTATTATTTAGGAAGTATGATCATAAGAGAGAATTCAGAGACCTCAGCGACCGTCACCTAATTCTCTTGGGAGCCAAGAACACAAGTCAGAAGCTAGCTACTGCAGCTCCAAGTCCACATCAAGCATAATAGATCCAACCCATTAGGCGGTTATCTTACCTAGAGATGGATGAATGTAGCGCTGAAGGCAATGCTACAAACATGAATAACCTTATTCTGATAGACACTAGTACAGGAGGCTTTTTGTTTCCTCTTTGGGCTGATCAAACAACTGAATAACTTGAAGGATAAATCTCATATTAGAATGTTCCCACTACTTGGTTTCTAGCGTTTGCAAACAAGTGTCTTGTCCACTAGGAGAGAAATGTTGTGACCTTAGCAATAATGTATAGCTATAAGGAAGGATGCACACGCAGATGATTACTTAGTTATAAGTTATAACCTACAACTCAGATCCTATCTTATTTAGGATTTAAATCTATGACAGTTTATTTAAATAATAACAATCATAGTCTTAAGCATAATTAGGAGGTTTCTTTTATCTAGGAAGTATTATTCAAAGAGTAGGACTACCTCTTGTACCTAGAGCATGACTCTTTCCTACACCTACGAGGCATCCAACAGATTAATCAAGGAACCAAGTTTTGAGAATCGGAGTCGGAGAAGAGTAGCACTCTTTTAAGATTTCTAGTCCGCGTGATATAAAGTTACTAAAGAAAAGGGAGTAACTAATTAAAACTGGAAATGGAAGTAAACCACAGATTAGTACAGAAATGGAAGTAGTGTTTGCATTTTGTGATTTTTCATATGTAAATATTTTCAAGACAGGAGTAGTGTTGCATACACTTTCACTGGCGGACGAGATATTATGACAAGCACTTGCAAATCCTCGTGTTCATTTGTATTCGAGACCTGAAGTAAAATCATGATAAGGTCCATGTAAGAGATGAAAGGTGAGAAGCAACTTCTGTGCCAAAGGGATCAGAAAGATATAGAAAGACATCCATTTTCGTCCAACAGCATCAGGATAGAGAGGGGCAATAGTAAACAAGAATCAGGGGGATAGTGACACACTTCCCAGATGACAACATGAAACCCAGACATCTAAAACCATGCACATCTAGCGATTTAGTCAGCCAAGCAAATGCAGACGTATACTGATATATGTATTTGGCCAACTCATGAAGCATAGATGCCGATTTGAGTCATCAGCCACAGTAGATAGCAGAAGATCACTCTAGCGATAATAAGACTTGAAACCCACACATATTCACAAACTTGTCAAAGGTTCTTACAAGACAATCCAGCAACATGATTAATGTCGATAATACGAGGTCAGAAAATCAGAACGTCTTTTGATCGAAAGCACTTCCAAACATTTCATACCTGATGTGCATCATTCACCGGAATATGGAATGTGCTGTTAGGAAAGATCAAATGCTCCTGTGGGTGCCCAGGATGCTTCTGGTGTGAGTTAGAAGCAATATAAAGTTTGCCACTTCCTTTAAGAACAACAAACACCTCTTCACATGAGTGCCTGTGTATGGGAGTGCTTGAGCCTGGAGCAAATGTTTGAAGCCATACTTCAACCTACCGAAATTCACAGAATTAAGTTACCAAATTGTTTGAGATAATAGATGCAGTGAGTTTCCGTAGACCACCCTTAGCTTGTCTACTGGAATCAGTGACGAGAGATTCAGAACTAACTCCTTCCACAGACAAACTAGACTGAGATCAGCCAAGATGTATAAGCAAAAGCTAGCGACTTTATCACCTAGCGGATAGAAATCCAAACAACCCAACATAAGAAACAAGAGAAGCAAACCACTGGCAAAGCAGGTGAATACCTCGTTCATCCCATGCAGGACAGAACCAGCAACAGTTATATGGGAAAGACCTGCCCTCCCATAATTATCCTGAGGAAGCTCACTGATATTTCGCACAAGTGGCAATCCTGTGATAGAGGAAAGATTGAAGTATCAAACAAATGAGTATATAGTTTAGGTGCAGTAAAATAAACAATAATACCTAGTTTACAAGAAATGCTAAGAAGGAATTTCTCTTGATGCGCTAAACCTGTCAATCATGCCAGCCCAACCTCTTCGCAATCAACTAACGGTACTTACCAGAACGACAGGGTAGAAACTAGGGCATTTCCGTGGAATAAGAACTACTGAACCAAAAAGCAGTTTGGGAAATGGCGTAATAGAAGAAACAGGCGCAAGAAAGAACCAAGTTTGATGAACTTTTAGATGGCGGAAGGGGGAAAGTATTATTACCGTTGGTGGAGAATTGCGAAGCCGGTGCTGCGGCTATGGCTAAAAAGCTCGAGAAGCAGAGTACGAGTTGAAATGGCAGCATTTTCACTCGGTCGCTCGCTGTTTCCACAACCTTCTTCCGCTGCTGCCGCCTGATCTAGGATGACAATGTTTGCTGATTTCTCTAAACCATTGTTGTCAGAACCGAACCGAAGTATGATCCGGTAATTCGAAAGACTCGCACTTTAGTGGTCCAGTCGGCATTAGATCGTTTAAAAATCGTTAGAAAACCGATACTTAATAAACATTATCAGTATAAATAGTGGACATTTTCTTAATCAGAGCTCGTCTCTTTCCTTCGAAATTGTGAAATGGAAATAAGGATTCAGTTTGAGAGGCCGACGTTTTTGGTTTATTTCAAATTTTAATTTTTTGCAAATTTTTTTAATTAAATTTAACGGTTGAATGAAAAACCGGACGAGCGGCTCGATCGGCTCGAATGGTTAACCGTCTCGACCGCTCGTCAACCGCTGCATAAAACCGGAGCGGCTTTTAAACTGTTCCGAGCCGGTTTTGTGATCGGGTGGCGGTTTTATCAGTCGGGCCGAGCGGCTCGGCTCGGCTTTAATAACACTGCTCTAAACCATCCCTTCACGTACATGTCCAAATACCTAAATTCATACTCGCCTCGTATTTATGGGCAGGATTTGCAACTCATCTAAGTTTTTTAGTATCCATAAACCATAATGATACCCGCCGTGTATATCAATATTACTATACGTCATCCCACCAAAAAATATATATATATTATTATACGTCAAAGTTCTCAATCCAATTTAGCCAGTTGGTCTGATCGAGTCTAACATACCGTTTGGTATAAATGAATTTTATAAGTTTTGAGAAATTTATTTTGAAATAAAATATTTTTGTGTTTGGTATATAAAAGAATTCATTTTGAATTCCAAATTTGGAATTCTACGGAATTGGAACTAGTTATAGCAATTTCGAGGAATTGAGATGGAATTTTCAAATAAATTCCACAAGTATTTTTTAATTATAATAAAATAATATGATTATCCTTAATTATTAAACCTTAGCTCCTACTAAACCTTACTTTCGGATCGTTTAGACCGATTTGGGTCGGATATATGAAAAAATTAATATATTTTACACTTATATATACATTATTTTAAGTAGAGATACATAACTAATTTGTGATTTAATCTGAAATATCATATCATTATTTTTTATATATATATATCAATACTTTAAATCATATATTTAAATAATAACAAAAACTTAAATCCCCCATCACCACGCGCTCCCTCCCCCAATCTCCTCCGAGGAAAAAAAAAGTTCCATTCAAACTCCCTACTTCGCTGCCACCCTTATGTTGGACATTGACTCGTTTTTACCAATCCAACTAAATCACGACCAAGTATAATCGCAATCTAGGAATATAGTATAGTGGTTTAGTTTCTAATTGTCAACCCGGGTACTAGGTGTACTGGTTACTCAGTAAAGTGCTATTATCTAGCGGTAGAAGTGGTGTAAAGTTGATAGAAAGTAAAAGTAAAGAGAGAATTATACTGCGGGAAGTTCTCAAACAATCTGGAGTCTCGACTAAAGTGTTCCAGACCTTCTCCGTTTAAATACCAGGCAGGTGACTAACCTCCGCAAATATAAGCTAACCGAGGTAATAAGATTCAAATTTCCTCTACTGGGTTCTTACACCAGTACAAAGCAGTGAAACCACTTCATGACTAGAGCAATCGATTCACTACCTCCAATTCAGGTTGCTCTTTAACCTATGTAGAGACTATCATTCTAGGTCAGATCATGAATCACAAGAATTTGATCAGGACTCATGCAGTTCTGAATAATGCATCAATTGGATAAAAGATAATCAATCATTCATGATAAAGGGTTTATACTTCCTAACATACAAATCTAGGGTTCTTACATACCCAAGTGATAGAGGGGGATTACTCCATAGGAGAGTTGAAAGCAAGGCTGGATGTAAAAATCATCATCTAGACAGAAGAAATCAACTCCAGGTTGTCAATATTCACTCCTTGAGGCTTGAATCGAGCTCCTCTAGTGGGAAGACTTGATCTAGGGCTCCCAAGGGTCACTCTTCGTCACTTTCTCTCTCTAAAACTCTGTTTTTGCTCTCCAAATATGCTCCCCTTCTCAAACACTCGAAATTGGGTTAAGAACTAACAGCTGCGCGATGCACAGTTGGCGCACGGCCATGCAAATCCATCTCCAATCCGTGCAAACTGAAATGCACCGTTTCACTTGAACTCTTGGAAGGATTATGCACGGGTAGAGCACGACCGTGCAAACTAGAGCCTTGCCCATGCAAAAACACTGGAAACCTTGCACGGTTAGGATACCATTTGCCCGCCAAGTGCATGCACATGCCGTAACTTCCTCTCTACACGGTCTACCTTGGACGACTGTGTAAACAGGGTTCCAAACCGTGCAAACTTCCTCTAGTCCTTGTCAAACATCCTAAACTTCGTCCAATCATACCAAACTCGTTCATAAGCCTTCATTCACGTACTATGACCTGAAATATCACAAATAAACACTACCTAGAGTAAAATATGCCAAAGAACGATCAAATGCCAAGCTAAAAGATCAAGAAATATCGGGAAAAACATGTGCAAATACGATGTTATCCGGCACAGCGAGTTATAATAAAGGTGGATATATTGTACTAAAAAATCATACGCTTGTAAAAAGTTCCTAGATAAATTAGACCTGGCGGCAAGCCTCTAGAATTACGGTAACCACCTTCCTTAGACCAATTTACTTCGGTCATTTAATAATGCAATATACTATGACTATTTTCAAAATAACAACACGTATAGACAATAATAAATGACACAAAAGATTTACGTGGTATACCCTAGTTTTGGGCCAGTCCTCGATAACAGAAGCTCTGTAGTATTTCTTCATTATTGCAATAGTAGGTTACAGAGAGTTTCAAGATACAAGGAAATAGAACACTTGATATTTCCTAGAACAACCTCACTATTTCAGTCACTAGAAATCTCCTATCTGCTCGTGGTACTGAAAATGTTTCACTACCAAAACCCTCAGTAAGGAAATAGCTCGTAAGCTAGCATAATAGAGCAACGGAAGAAGAGGTATGGAAGTTGAGGGATGATTTGAATGGCTATTGGCAGTCTCCTTTCAAGGCTAAGAAGAGGGCATGGATTGATTGTAATTGGGTGAGAGTTCCACCTACCCATCGCTCCCTTGTATTAGGTTTCTTTTTCTTTTCTCAAATACCACCGCCACTAGATGGTCACTGGTCTGCCACGTGAGGTGAGCCCAACAATTCTCCTCGCCCGACTACATGGGCGACTTCATCATCCTTGTAGCTGATCGATAGAACTCAAACTTTTCTCTTGGAAGAGTCTTCGTACACATATATGATCCATTTTCGTCAGTATGGACCTTCTCTAGTTGTAGTTGCTTCATTTTAAGCACTTCTCAGATCCAGTGATATCGAACATTAATATGTTTCGACCAGGCATGAAATGAAGTGTTATTCGCAAGATGAATAGCACTCTGACTGTCACAAAATAGTTGTGGTTGTTTCTGTAGGAACCCAAGTTCTTTCAAGAACTTCTTCATCCATAACATCTCCTTGCACGCTTCTATTACTGTTATATACTCTGCTTCAGTTGTAGAAAGAGCTACACACTTTCGTAGCCTTGACTGCCACGATATTGATCCCTTGATAAGGTAATCAGGTACCTAGAAGTGGACATCCTTGAATCAATGACACATGTCATGTCATTATCTGTATAGCCAATGAGGACAGGTTTTTAATCTCCAAAACATAAACTCCTTTTGGAGCTACCTCGAAGGTATCTGAGAATCCACTTTACATCTTCCTAATGTTCCTTTCCTGGTTTGGAAAAAACCCGACTAACAAGTCCAACTGCATGAGCAATATCTGGTCTTGTAGACATCATGGTGTACATCAAACTTCCCACAGCAGAAGCATATGAAACTTTATCCATCTCCGCCTTCTCTTTATTAGTAGATGGACTCTATTTGGATGTCAACGTAAAGTGGTTAGCAAGAGCACAACTAACCTCCTTAGCATTATCCATGTCGAAACGTTGAAGTACTTTATCAATGTACTTCTCTTGTGACAACCATATCTTCTTGGCATCTGATGACTACATATTTACACACGTTTTACCCCCTCATTTCTTGATTGTTTAGCTTGGTGTTTATCATAATTTGTCCTATTTTATGCTAAGTTATGTTCCTTTGTCATATTTTAGGTCCTATCACATAAATTGAAGCATAGCGCAAGTTTCAAGTCAATCGGAGATCAATTGGCGACTCGGGGGAAGAAACTCGAGCATGACCTGAGGAAGAATGGATTTATACCAAAATTAATAGAAAAATAATTATTTAATATTTTCATGAAAATAAATAGGATGAGACTACAAGCGTCTGGGATCAAACATCGACTAATTTGGAGTCCAGACCTGGGAGAAACGAGACATCCAAGACAGGGGAATAGGAACTATGATTTCCACGGGTTGGAAGCCAATTCCACTACCGTGGATTAGGAGTTCAGACCGTATTTTTTTAGAAGGAGAAATCCATGGGTTGGAGAGCTAATTCCACGACCATGGAACGTGCCAGCAGCGAGTATAAAGGCCTGTTTTGTGCGTTTTTGGAAGAAGAGAGAGCTGGGTTTTGGATCCCAAACACCCAAGGGACGAACCCTAGAGAGGGAGCACCTTGGAATCATTCTTGGAGCTATTTTGGAGGATTTCTTCACAATTAAAGCTCGGGAATCAAGCTTCGATATGTAGATTGAAGATCTAGATCAGATTTATGCATTCTCTCTCTTCTCTATGGAGTAACTTTCCTTCACTTAGGTTTTGAGAAACCCAAGATTTGTATACTAGGAAGAGTTATATGAACCATTTTTCATGGATGATTGATTATCTTATATCCAATTGAGGCATTATTCAGAATTTGCATGACACACGATCAAATTCGTGTGATTTCTGCTTTAACCTATAACGATAGTCTCTACATAAGTCAAAAGAGCCACCTGAATTGGAAGTTGTGGATCGATTGCTTTAGTCGGGAATTTAGCCAAGGTACCAGCAGCAACAGGTAAATGAGAGCCTCTTTCTCTTTCTTTCAGCAATCTTGATCTCTCAACGAATGAACTGCTGCCACCCATACCAGATAGAGATCAAACAATTCAAAATTTGATAAACA